TCGATCATGAATTATTCCACGGGACGGGTTTGCCTCACCACCGGTCTGGTGACTGTCCAGTGTGCACCCTGGATGCACCGTTCACGTCGCAGATTGCAGCACATCACTGCATATCCATTCGATGCGAAACAACCAATTCAGCTTCAGGCCTGAGTGGACTTGCGAGCCGGATTTCTCGCACGGGCGTTTATACTTTTTTAACACCAGTAAAACGCCTTTTGGGCGAAGAACGAGCGAGCGAGATAGTGAGCCCTGCACGTGCGGAAGGGCAAGAGGGTGCTTCCAACAGGCTTGCGCAAAGCACCCTTCTAACCGGTCGCTAGCGGTGTGCCAAATTTGAACGCAATCGGCACAGCCGTTCCTGAGATATGGAAGCGGCATTCTACACGTGCGCACGTGCAAACGGGGTCCAAAATGACTTTTGCACGGCACCCTACTAACTGGTCCCCAACCGTGTGCCAAATTTGAGCGCAATCGGCCCAGCCGTTCTCGAGATCTGGAAACGCCCCCTGCACGTGCGCACGTGCAGTAGCACCCTAACCGCAACACATGGGAATGCATTGCCTGGTGGGTGCCTACCTGCACACTGAAAGAAAAAATGACACCAAATGGGGGGTAGGGTGACTCTGCCAAAAAGTCCGCCCCACAGGGGTGTCAAAACAACTCCCTTTTGGAGCATCATAACACTGCAATATGGTGTCCATAAACGCCGTTTCTTGGCGCACGTGGACTCCATATTTCGGAGTTCGGATGCCCAAAAACAGTTTTTTTGACACCCCTGTGGGGCGGACTTTTTGGCATGTTCCCGTAAATAGAGTCAAGACTCCCTTAGGACTCTTTCTTTTTGGGGTTATATGATGCCCCAAAAGAGACTCTTTTGATACCCCTGTGGGGCGGACTTTTTGGCATATCACTTTACATGGAGTCACGACATAACCGAGAGATACTCCAAATGTTTTTTTTTCGGAAGTTCCCAGGTGAGACTTCAATGCCTCCATCCGGTTTTAGATTCGACTCCAAGATTGGAGTCAAATCCATAGGCCACGCGTCTGAAAATCTTAGGCTTTATTATTTACAGCATGAGTCTTTCCACATAGTTTTAGCCGCTAAAGCATTATCACACAATCACCTTACATCATACAGAAGTTGTGATGGCCCTGGTTTATACCACAAGCTGCCAAACTCGTAAAAATTATCAAAGAAAGACAAGATTCCTCAAACCTTCATAGAAAGAGCGGAAGTTTGACCCGAAAAAAGGCTGTGACAGTTAACGACATCTATGAGAAAAGTTAAAACTAGCAGTACCAGCCGATGCCAGCGCCACCTTTATGACATCCGTTTAAGGGAGTCATAGAGGAGTCCGAAACTTTACTTAGGGGGTATACTTTTTCCGTTTAGACGGTTAAACATTCCCGTGATGAGGCGTGACACTTTAGTTAGAAAGGCGTATATTTTCAGCGATGTATTAAGTAGCAGATCTTCAAAAGAAAGCCGTATCATCAAAAGGTAATTTTCAAAAGGGAGTCGTAGGTCATTGGGGATCATTCGACAGGGAGTCGTACACCAAAAGGAGACCTTGAAAAGGAATTCATACATTTGAACTAAGGCGTCCTGTATTAATTAAGACGAAACGTACTTTTTGAAAGGGATTCGCACATTTCCAATAGGGAATCGAACATCTTTAATTTTTAAAAGGGAATTGCACATTTTTAAAGAGACTCGCACATGTTCAAAAGGGAGTCGCTCATTTTCAATAGATTCCCACAGTTTCAAAAGAGAGTCACTTATTTTCAAAGGAAAGTCATATATTTTTAAAAGAGAGTCATCTTTCTTTGATCATGAGTCGAACATTTTGACAAGAGAGTAAAACACCGTTTCTGGGAGTCAAATGTGTAAAAGGAGTCTCGACTCCATGTTAAATGAGTGTAGAATGTGGAGTCGAGACACCTCATTTCCAACGTGACTCTCATAAAAAGGTTTCTTACTCCCTTGCCCAAATGCACGACTCCTTTTTTGAGATAGACACTCCCCAACAAAGGCGTCAAGTATCCCTCTTTTGGTGTCGAACACCCTCGCCGAACTCACTGATCCGATTTAAGGGTATCATGACCCTCTCAGGAGGACACCATATTTTGACGTCGTCGGAAACTGACGCCAAAAGATGGGGCGATGACCATACATTTTGGAGTCGGACACCAAAATTTAAGCACTCAGACTCCGAAATATGGAGTCGTTGTGGAGGTGGGGTGTCAAAATTTTTATCAGTGTGTATGCCAAGTTTCAGCGAAATCGCCCCGGTAATTACCGAGTTACTGAAATGGGAACAAATTTAGCGCCTCTTATTGTTGTATTTTGCACGTGCACTGGGAGTGACCCACATGCATCGAGAGTATCCTATTTTGGGTAGAAGGGATGCTGCTACCCTACAAAAATTACCGCAAGTCAATCGCCCAAGCGGCTGCTGAGATATGAGCCTCTCAAAATCACTACTTTTTCAAAACAGCTTGAACACCCTTGACTTTTCACGTGACACGTGCCACGACGGTCACTGAGATGTATCAAAAGTAGTCAATTACGGGGTAGAAGGGATGGGGCTACCCAACAAAAAAGACCGCAGGCCAATCGGTCCAGCGGTTGCTGAGATGTAAGCCTCTCAAAAGCGTTACAGGCCGGGCCGGGCCGGGCCGGGCCGGACCGCTCATACTGAGATTTTTCCGTTATATTGAAGACTCACTTCGCTCGCTGCGCTCGCTCGCTCGTAGCAAATATTTTAACCCTCGCTGGCCGAGGGGGGGCGGGTGCCGCCCCCCTAGGTTTTTTTTCGCGATAGCTCCGAACACGCTGGCGATAGAGAGCTGAAACTTGGCATACCTGACCTTTGATCCAAGCCGCATCTTTTGAAACCAACCGCATTTTTGGGTCAGGTCAGGTCACTGACCTATGACGTCATAAGTGAACCTCTGCACGGTCTTCATATGTCGCAACTTCGCAACGCCCTCACTGCCAGAGGAGATGTCACAGGGAATTGAAACTTGCAGGAGCTAGTATCCATTATGAGTCTCACAACTTGTATATCTCGGATTTTTCCTAAAGGTCATATGAGGTCAGGTCATTTTCGTGACCTCACCATTATAAGTCAATGGGGAAAAATTCAAACTGCTATTCTGGCACCGGGAACGATCTCCAACTATCTTAAGCACACAGAATCGTGATTTGATGCACTCCTTGCAAGGTTAGATGCGTCACTTTTGCAATGTTGACCTTCCGTGACGTCATTTATGATTTTTCGTCAATAACTCCCGATCAAATTAAGCTAGCGAGTCGAGAAAGCCACCAGTGGACTCAGGAAGACCTGCCGGATCGAATGATATGCGACATGACCTCTTTCGACCAACTTCGTGACCTGGGGGTGCTGACCTGACCTTGATCTGAGGTCAACACCCTAAGTTGACCTGACCCGAACAAAAAGTATATCATTCGACGCACCTGAGCGAGGCGAACACGATGCTGCCAAAATCGCGGCTCTGCGGCCGTTTTTTGCGAAGTTATTCACCAAAAACTGAACCGTACCCTGGGGCACTTGACCTGACCTCAGAGGTCACCAGTTGACCTAGGACCTTAAAATCGGGTACCAATCTCTGCGTCTCGTAACGGCGCACACGCTCGTTTTTTCCGCGACGCGCTAGCTCCACCAGGGGCGAAACGGCGAGGGGGGGTCGTACCCGCCCCCCCCCCCCTCGGCCGGCGCGTATGTAGAAAACCAATAGGTCCGGCGAGGGTTAAGATCGTGAGTCAGAAACTCGGCTGCTCACGCCTTTACAGCAACAGGTGTTCCGTCTTGCACACTTGTAACTAAATGGTCACGGCTACAGATTCAGTAAGGATTGGGACCTGTCTGACCGCTTCCTAAACATAATTGAGTGCTCAAGAGCCGAGGAAGACCATGACGTCGATTGCCTATTGGTCAAATTACAGCATGTGGGGTCTTCTTGTCACTGTCGCTGCATGAATATTCATTGGGATTAGCGCGACAGCATTTCATGGCACGGGTGGAGAATTGTGCTGGACTGGGGGTGCTCGAGCTCTCCCAATTCCACGCCGGCCACGCCGGCTTGGCTTTGGAGCCGCGGCCGGGCGGCGCGGGTCAAGGTCACCGCTAGGCGGCGGCGGATTTGCTGCGCCCGAGCACCCCCAGCTGGTCACAATTCTCCACCTATGTTTCATGGCTATTCAGGTAAAGCCGCAAACGGATGTTTACATGTGGTGGAGAGCCTATCGCCATTCATTCACGCCAGGCCTCGAAGCACGAGTGGTGACATACCGGTCCTCCGAACGTTACGACATCTACTGTCAATAACACCCCGAGCCCACGGCGGTTCCAACTGACCTGAGGCCAGTTTAACCAACAAAAAAAAAAATAGCCGCCTACCGGAATTTCTTTGACTAAAGATCGCTTCACCTATGGAGCGTAAACGCGATGGGCACGTAAGCGGATAGGGCTTTCCCGTTTACGCTCCGTATGTGAAGCGGTCTTTAGGCAAAAAAATCCGGCAGGCGGCTGTTTTCTGTTGGTAAAACTGGCCTCTGACCAACCGAGCCCGAGGCGGCTACAAATAACCAGCCATATCGATTGCAAAGCCTTCGGCACTCCATCGGCCCTCCGTTCGATCCTGTCAAGTGCTAAGACTGTGACAGGTAAGCTGATCGCCCCTGTCAGGCTGAGTATATGTGTCACACGGCATTGGCAGACGGCCCGACACTGGTCCCATTGCGTAGCCTGCAGACATGCACGGCGCTTGTAACAGGGGCGGCCGAGATGGTCCGGTGAGCCGGACGGCCTGCCCGACCGGTCACCCGCGTCACCTGGTCAGTTGGTCAGTTGGTCACCTTTCTCTCCACTGCGGCCGCTGCTGCAACGGCGCCCCCCCCCCCCTCCAGCGACCTTGGCACCGGCCGGTCACGTGCTGCCGGGAGCGAGAGCTGAGCCTTGATAAGGCGCATCTGCCTCCTTCGGCACGAGTCTGCTCGTGAGACGGCCGGCGGCAGCAGCTAGGGACCCGGTGAACCGCAGTGAATCGTGAGTGAAATGCTGGAACCGTGCAATTATGCGTGATGATTGCGTCAGGAGGAGCGGACCAAAGTGCTCGGAGAGGAGCAAACTGCCGAGAAAGGCGGCGTTCTCGGATTCAGACTAAAATAACGTGCCCTCGACTTCATGGAAAGATGTGATAGAATCAGGATTAGAGGCTGTATGAATGAAGTAATAGATTCGGGATGGGTGTGTGATAAACTAATGGTTTAAAATTGATCGACAAAACTTTCGTGCATAAAACGTTTTTGTTACAATATTGATGCATGCCATTCATTTCATCACCAATGTGTAGTCACCCTCGAGACGCTCAATTTGCCTTAGTGCCCTAAAAAGCTAACTTTAAAAAATTGGGCTCAGATCAAACATAACGACCCAGCTTGAGGCCACAGTGCAGTCACTTATCTTGCAAAATGACTTTTGCATTACAGAAGAGCAGTCAGTGTCAATTATTTATGTGCACTTTTTGAAACACCCGCGAAAAAAGATGATATAATCACCGCAAAAATCTGAAAAGCGCTGGCTGGAAATCAACTTTCAAGTGTAGGTATCCATTTCAAACTTGAAAGCGATGTCCCTGCCCATCATCCCAGCTTGATCCCGTATGTAATCGTCTTCAGATGAGAAGCCTGTGCCTTATCGCTCTGCTGGCGGCGGCGTCTGCCGCGCCCACCGAGGAGAGGGCACGGCTCAGGGAGCTGGCTGCCGACGCCAAAATCCTCGAGGACGATGTGAGGAAGTCTCCAGACGGCAGCTACAGCCTGGCGTGAGTACTTACAGCCGTGACGGTCACGGTAAGAAACCGAGACGAGAACCAGTATCATCAGCATCAGCTAGCACTCGACTAACGATATTATTAAGTGAGAATCTGAAATGAGAGTGTGATACAATCTAGCGAATAGCAATCGTAAGACGGGACTGTGAGCAATGAACACTTCAGTAACGCTTCAAATCCCTATTCGCCTTGGCAGGTTCCGGACCGACAACGGCATATCGCAGCAGGAGCAGGGTATCTCGTACCCGGGCTTCCTGCAGGACTCGGGATCCTACGTCAAGGAGGGCCGCATCGAGTACACCCTGGACAATGGCGTGCCCGTCGTGCTTGAGTACTTGGCCGACGAGAACGGCTTCGAGATCCTGAACCCGGAGCAGCTGCAGCAGGTGCTGCCCACGCCGCCGCCCACCGAGTACCCGCTGCCGCAGGTGCCCGGCGCCGGAATGCCCGTGCCGGATCCCCTGCCAGAGTTCAACGTGGGCTTCTAGGGTGACGTGGAGGAGTGGGGAGCGAGAGGGGGCAGGGAGGGGAAAGAACTGGGACTGTGTAGATGGCGTGCAGGTCACCGGACCGGAGCTGCTGAGGATTTGTTACAGATGGCGTCACTGTGCAGGTCTGCCGGTCCGCAGGTTCACGACTGTGTTGAATAAATGTACAACAGAGGCATCTGTCAGATCGCACTTGTAGGTACATGAAAAATTGGTCTTTTCTGCCAGGGATGACCACTTGATTCTCCTCTTTCGACTCCATCACGCTAAAGTCACTCATCAGCTATCGCTGTCATTTGTCGCGCATTGTCACTCGGCATTATCACTTGTCTCATTATCACTTGTCACTACGAACTGGTCATTTGTCTCACTGTTACCTATCTGTCACTTGTACCATGCTGCTGTCAAATCTCTCACTGTCAGCTAGCTCCATCACCTGCCAATGTTGACAATACCGGCTGCTGTGTTCGTTGAAGTTGTTGCATGAGATGCGTTGTGATTTATGTTTGGATCGTGCCGCTGTTTCATCGATGGTCTGTGCTGGAAGTGCCGCTCTGCAACAGTTTGAATGTGTTTTGTGCCTGTTTTGCCGTCCATGATAATATATGCGTATTCATATATGAATGTTGAGTCCCGTATTAGCGTTTCATTTCCCTGGTACATACCTACTCTTACCAGTGGTCTCGTGGTAATTAATCACTTGAAGATAATCTTATCTGGAAAACGCCTTCACGGTGCGATGCGTTGGTCCAGATCATAGTGGCTCTGAAGAAATTATCGGTGGAAGTTGCCGTAATATTGACCGGCAGCATTGATATACCGGGGCTTTTCAACTGGGCCGTAACATAAACGGTCGCATATATTAAAAATCTGGAGCATTGGTCGGCACAGACAAAAACGATGCATCGTAAGCGTTTATTAGTCACAAGTACAACAATTGCACTAATATAGAGCAATGATGTATCAAATATCCTTTCCCAAAAAGGTAGCAAGGTACATGCGTACACATACCGAAAGCAGAATAAAACTCCGCTGAAAAGGTGTCTATAATTGAAAAGGTTTTAGCACAGTGGCGATGCTCTTCAAACGCTATCGGCGAACCCTAGCAGGCCGTTTTCGGCATCGTAAGCGGTGTAGTACTTCTGCATGAAGAGTGTGCCCAGCATCATGGTGCTGTTGTCCAGGTGACTGACGCCGAGGAAACCCGAGATGCACATCTGCATGTGGTTGGGGAAGAGCAGGTGGAAGGTGTACTCGAGCGGCGACAGCGGCATGGCCCGCCCCTGGACGCTGATGGTGATGTTCGGCAGCTTGTGCAGCGTCCGGCAGTCGAGCGCCACGGCGCCGGCCGCGCCGAACGCCGTGCCGCCGAGCATGGCGTTCACGGCGTCGGCGTTGGTGTTGGACAGCAGGAAGAAGGGCGTGGTGCTGATGGGAGCCACGGAGCAGCCGTCTGGGCACAGACCCAGCTCGGGGCGGCCCTCGAAGGAGACCTGCTCAGCGGTCACCGTCCACTGGCGTTTGGCGGTGGGCAGCAGTTCAGCCCAGGTCAGCGTGCTGCTGAACCGGCGCCCGTTCAGGCCGCCCAGGGTCAGCTCTCCTCCGGCCGGGTCACGGCCCAGCCAGAGACCGAACTGGCGGCCCGGGATGTGGCCCTCCGCGGCCAGTACGTCCAGCACAGAGTCGGCCGGACCCAGGCCGACGACGCCGGACTGCGGCAGGTTGTTGTACCAGTCGGACCACACGGACGTGATCTCGCCGAACGTGATGTTGTTGACGGTGATGCCGGCCACGGTGACTGAGTCCTGTGACAGCGCGCCGCTGACGTTCTGTCCGAACGGCAGCTCGAACGGCTTGCCGTCAGCCTGTGGAAGCGAAAGGGAGGTGAGTGACAGAATAAAACGTCTGCCCTAATCACGAGGAATTAATTAAAGGGAAAGACGTAAGTAGGCACCGCAATTGGGAGAGGAACCAAAGCGAAACGCTTGCCGGCGCAAGGAGTCATATTACTCGGTCACAAAGCTAAGTTCATAACAAAAATTCTTGGAGACAGCCATGGGAGTTCCGCCTCGAAATTTATGTGAAATGCATCCACTCGTATGCGAGGAAAGTAAACGGGAAAGTAGCACAGCAAAGGAAAATTAGCTAGCACTTGACCGTTCCCGATCGTTGATGTCTGTTCCAGAGACTCACGGAAGACTACTGACGAGTAAAGTTCCCTCTGTTCGATACCCAACTAGCCTGATAGGTAGACGAGAGTGCAGCGTCGTACTGCGGCCGCGCTGCACACACGGGTGCCGTGCAGTTGGCCGAGACCACGTATGATACGTCAGAGGTCGTGTCAAAGGTCACTGGCATCATCTGCGGCGGCGTGCCGACCCCTATCGCGCCCACGAACGCCTGGGTGCCCTGTCGGTGATTGGACGATGCGACGAAGTCAGAAAGGTATGCGAGATCACTAGATAGTCTGAATAGAAATGGGAAATAATCAGGTGAAAATGTAACGTAAGAAATAAGGAAGCTCGGAGCCTCGGAGAGTACTTGCCGGTTACTTTCCTCGTTACTTTACTCATTTAGGTACTCATTATTTGATCTCTTTTATAAAACCATCGTCCACCTGCAGCCTTTATAGGTACTGCACTTACCCTGGTTTTGATGTTATCCAGTGGCTGGATCAGCACATTCGTCGTAACAAGTTCGGTAGTCTGCGCCTCCAGCAGCCCCAGGCTTGCCACCACCACCAGAACTCGAAGCATTTCGAATTTTACCGGCTCTGAGGATAGAGAGATAACGTTATGCTTACATACCTTCATTAACCCTTTATCTCTATTTTCCAGTGCTATCATTGCATACTTACAACAGCAGGGAAACATAAATATAGTCACGAAAGCATCCGTCTCAGCCCTGCACCGTCACGTGGCTAAGGCGATAGATCTTTGTGTCCCCTGCGGGCGTTCTCCGTTATTACCGGCATCTTTTAATTCTCATGCCTATATTTTTAATGCGTTTGTAAATGTTTTGTGTCGGGATGATTAAAATGTAATAATGACTTCAGAACATGGATGCGATTTTCTATAGCAGCACTGAACATGTGATTGCCTCGAAAATTTCAACAGCTGATTACAGTGCAGCTTTACGTTCTGCACGGGGCACCAAAACTACTCTACTAATTCCACGGAGCACGTACCACGGTGCAGATTTACCATTCAACTTTATCGCTATACACTTCTCGAGATATGGGATGCGATCCGCACAAAGCACACCTTAAAGGGACTATCCCACCTTCTAAAATGTTGTTAAAACCAGTTAAATTGTGCCCGACTTTATAGATTGGATGACCAGGAACACGGTTCTGACATTTATTTTTCATTAAACATCTTAGGCTTCCCATATTCCAAACACAAACTTTCAAATATGTGACGTCACAGCCCAAAATTACCTCCTTCCCCAGGCCACATTACTGTCATAAAGCTGATTCTTTTTACTCTGTAGGCACCACAACAAAGTTCAGACCAAGTTTTAAGCGATTTTTCAACGAACAAACCCATTTAAATCAGAATGACTAAACGAGGTGACGTCACACTAACGGTCGCTCCATGTTGAAGATAGGGCCTTGTACAAGGCCCATTTTCAAATGAAGGGAACGAATTTCTTCAACACCAAGAGGCCGCGGGGGTTGCAACCTAGATAGATAGTGGTTTCTGAACCTCGCCGCAAACTTGGCTATCTCAACTCAAACCCCATGTTAAAGGTGGGATAGTCCCTTTAACGTAGTATGTGCCAGTGCCTACATATTCGTCTACATACTGATAAAAGCACAGTCGTTAGGTTCAACTCATTGGCCATATTTCGGGGTTCAATAAGTATTTTGGGGAAAGAATCTCTCTTGACCTAATTGCAACGTATACATGTATTAGCCGTTTTCAGGACGGGCTGTCCGGCGAATGCACCTAAAGTGACCGTTTTCACGACGGGCTATCCGGCGAGTGCACCTAATTTGACCAAATCTTCACTTAATCTCTTTTACAGCAAATATCTGCATTTTATGAATTTATTTCAGTGTTTTAATAGATTATACTCTCTGATATATGACAAAGCAGGCATATAAGCAATTAGTGCAGCCCTAGCTGATATGCTACTAAGACATACTCGTACACTGAACCTAATTTGACCAAATCTGCACCTAATCTGCATCAAATGTGCACCAAATGTGTACCAGATGGCCGTCGTGAAAACGACTATTATCAGGGAACTTTTTTACCCTTGCATACCTTGCACTAGACGATTATTCCGTACAGTGAGCAGGACCAGGCGGTCTATGGTCCCCGGATATCACTCTGGTTCGATCTCGGTCCAATCCAGCCTGGGTCCAGCCCGCGGTCCGTCCGATCGGCTCCGTGACGTCGCCGGGCGCTTTGTGACGGATAGACGAGGACTCTGTCGACGACCGGCCGCCGTTATAATGGCGGCGACTGGCCTGACATCTGGTGATGCAAGGCTACCCTTCAACGTCACCCTTCCTTGAATGGGGAACAACAAGGAACCGGTGCATCCATTGCATAAGGACTACATTTGTGTGTTACCGCTGTTCTATGATTCCAAGAAGAGCGGTCAGCTGCGTGTGATCAGTACTAACGATACAGTCAGTGCGATATATGATAGGTATATCATATGCTCATCGGACCTTACGCAAGAAATAACCAACCATCACATTTAAAAGCAGAGTACATACATAGGTAGTTAGATTCCATGCTCCCCTCCCCTCGGCATCATTGAAAACCCTTGCCAAAAGGGTTATAATGAGCCAACAAAGCCGTACCAAATAAGCATCAAGTGCTTCATTGAAGGTAGGTAGATACTGTATTTTATTGTGCTGTATCGTTGATTGTATAATCTGAGGCGCCCTTGTATAATCTGAGGAATTGATTATTGATTTCGAGAAAAAACAGACTGTTGCATAAGGTGTTTTCACTAAAAAAGACGCCTTCATGCTGCCCGATCTGTGATCAATCCGTGTCTTTCATGAAGTGGTAAATATTCTTCTCGATTTCATTGTACTCGATGTTCATTGCTTTTATGATGTGCTGGCCTATATCATGAGGATAACGGATGTCGGATTCATCATGATCATGAAGTTATAACAAGGATGCAAGTATATCGGCAATCTAGCGAGCTCTTAGCCGAGATCCAAGAGAAAGCGGGACGCCGGACATGAGGATTGCTGGCTGCCGTATTTGTGAACCTAGTTATCGGGACTACATATGCCATCCGAACGACGCCTGTAAATGGTTGACCGACCGTTATGACATTCAGGAAAATATAATTCAGCGTTTTAAAAAGTATACCTGACACGGTGCAGGGAATAACATTTTACGAATCATTTGTCACCCATTCAGGCGCAGACATCGTGTTTCCGCACCCGAGTTTCACCATATAGCACAGCTGTGGCGGTTTGGCTGCCGTGGTCCGTCCACAACCGGACAGAATCTCCCGGTAAATGTTACCGCTGCGCCGCCTCCGTCCGGGTTCGGGCCGCGGGCCGGTACCATAGACGGAAAACCAACACGGTCACAGCGCGGTGCGGTCTCAATTTTTATCGGCTGTGTTCACGGATTAGCTATAGTTTTCGTCCTCCAACTTATCGATAACGAACATTGAATCAAATGCCGTATGTGGGAAGTGAATCGAAAAGGGAAAACGACGCAATGAAATACACTCGCACGCAGACACGCGCACTAATGTTTTGTTTTAAATATGGATGTTAGATATGTATGATACTTATTTTGCTTCCCAATGATGGCTGATCAAAAACACAATGCAGCAATGCAAAAATATCGGTTCCTGCAGACTTAATTTCTAGGTGATAGTAGAACTAAACGCCGTGGGGTGAGGGCATAACCAAGGCTAACTATTTCCCATAAAAATTTCGTAAATTTCCACGAATTTTCCCAAGTTTGATCTTTACTGCGTGAATATTAAAGAAAAAAAAAACATTTTCCAAAACTACAGTTTTAGCTTTTTTATTTGCGAAAAAACAGCGATCTGCTCAATTTCTAATGTATCTGAGTAACAAATGGCCCAAATATCCCTCCCCGGATCCACCAGTGAGTCGCAGCCGACATGAATCACTTTGTCCGTTTCCTGGCAGACGTTCAGCTGTTTCCTTCCAGCCGGTTTCCTTCCTGCCCTGGCTGTCCTGTCCGGTTACCTAGCCAGCATTCACACCGCAATGCAACGACGCATCACAACACGGTGCTCCAAAATAACCCGGTAAACCAAGCGGGCGGATTTCACCTCATTGCACTGTCGTCGACCAAAACTTACAATGCGACAAAAGCAGCATTGTTCTGTTATCGCAACAAAGCAGCCCACATCATAATTTTCAATTTTAAGCATGTAGGTTGCAGTCATAGCGTGTACTGTCACAGCTTGGTGATCCTGCTCACACCATGCACTGGTGCTACTACTGTGGGCATTATTACAGTCTCTTTGCAAAAGTTATGTGTACTACATTATGTGTATTATTGCAGTCTTCATCCCCTAGTGCTACCGTTGTGTAATCTTGCAGTCTCCATACCGTGCTGCTACTGTTGTGTGTAATTGCAGTCTCCATACCGCCCTGTCTGTTACTGTCGTGTGTACTGTGTACTTACTAAATACTAATTACTATCATAATCATAGTCTACATATCGTGGTGCTACTGTTGTGTGTACTATTGCAGTCTCTATATTGTGGTGTTACTCTTGTGTGTATCGTTACAGTCTCCGTGCCGTCGCGCTACACAAGAGTGTGCTGCTGCAGTCCCCATACCGTGGTGTTACTGTTGTGTGTACTATTGCAGTCTCCATGCCGTAATGTTACCGTTGCCGGCCCTATGCCGTGGTTGTTGTGTAAATTATTGCAGTCTCCATACCAATTGGTGCTACTAATCAGTGTACTATTGCAGTCCCCATACCGCGATGTTACTGTTGTGTGTACTATTGCAGTCTCCATGCCGTAGTGTCTGTTGCAGGTATAGGTACCATAGGCGTCGCCAGAGATTTTCGGTTGGGGGGCAAAATCAACTTTTGTGTTAAAACTTGCCTTTCCCCAGTCTTTACTCACTCGTTTTACATATCATTTGACGCGCAATGGTGCGAGGAATCCGATGGTGGCAAAGGTGTCCTAGCTATGACATGTAATTTTTCTACAGAAAAATTCGAAATTTTGAAATTTCATGACAAAAACAACTGGTAGAATTATAGTATATTGTGGCTGCGATTACCGACGCACTGCAGAGGGTCCCTGTGCAGACGCTCGACGCTCATGATCATTACCCAGAAAAAGGTGAAAAACGCTCCATTTAATCGGATCACCCTGCTAAAACCTCCATTCACGCATGCATGCAGAGGTTTTACGTGAAATGCATAGGACTTATCCCAGCCGCCGATCGTAGCTAAGTTGGGCATTCGGCGGAGAGTGAATGTCGGAAGTGTGAATTGGAAGTAATTCATCTTTGCTCCAGTGAGAGGAAGTGTTTTGTTCACTCGAGTGTGAACAAAAGTTTCTCGTTTTTCGTGTGAAGGGAAGCGCTGCAAACGCGAACAAAAACTGTTTAACGGAACCAAAAGTTACGCACGGCATAGCGGCAAGGGATCTCTTAGAGATAGGTTTGGGACTTCCAGGCCATTTCAGGCCACTCAGGGTCAGTGCTGACTCTCAGAAGCATGCTTAGAATCCCGGAGATCGGCGTGGGTCACCTCAAATATTTACGTGTACGTGGTGCTTTAGGGCTTTCCGAGCCCAAAGTGGGGCCCTCAGAAGCCAGTGTGGGCGGCGGGTGCTAAGAGACTAGGCCCAGGGTGAGCCTGGAGACCTCGGATAACAGTGTGAACCCTCGGGGTCTGTGTCGAATTCCTAAGGACCCTACGCAGACCCTACGTAGGGACATAATATTGCGGACGTCCTCAGAGGGACACGTGAGCTCAGGGGCGTAGGCAGGGGGGGGCCACTGGGCCATGGCCCCCCCCCCCCCCTTGGGCGCCGAAGGCGCCCTTTGCGATTGGAGGGCGCCGAAGGCGCCCTCCAATCGCAAATGCAATTGTGATATAATCGAATCGAAAAACAATCGCGACTGGAGGGCGCCCTCCAATCGCGAATGTGTTTACAGGGAAAATACGGATGGAGGGCGCCCTCGGAGGACGCCCATTCCAAATACGCCCTCCAAATACGGTTGGAGGGCTCCCTCGGGCGCCCTCCAACCACATTTGTAGGCTGTAGCTCTCTAAGCGTAACGGTGGTCGCCTATGTAAGCCGCTGTCCTGTAAATAAGCGCCCTCTCACCCGAAGGCGCCCTCCTGTAGGTCGCCACCCTGCTACACATTGCCGCCCTTCTGCTGATCGGTGTCCTCATAATTATTGGCGCTCTCCTACCTATTGAGCCCTCATGTGAAATTTTGAAGGCCGCCTTTCTCCCTTTTGGCACCCTCTTGTTCAGTGCCGCCCTCCTACCTATTGGTTCCCTAGTCCTTCCTGTTGAATGTTAATCGGGGCCCTTCTCCTATTGGCGCCCTCGTGTAGATCGCCGCCCTCCTAACCACTGGCACCCTCCTGTTGATCACCGCCCTCCTATCCACTGGCACCTTCCTGTTGACCAGCGCCCTCCGCACAGACGCCCTCCTGTTCGTGTCATCCTCTTGAGCAAAGGCGCCCTCCTCACCATTGCCACCCCCATTTTAATCGTCACCCTTCCGCTCATTGGCGACTTCCAGTTGATGACCGCCCTCCCACCTATTGGCGACCTCTTGTTGATCGCCACCCTCCTATTGGTGCTCTACTGTTCCTCGCCACCCTTTTACCTGGTGGCGCCCTCCTGTTGATTGTTGATCGGCGCCCTCCTACCTATTGGTGCCCTCCTGTTGATCGCTGCCCTTCTATCCATTGGCGCCCTCCTGCTGCTCGTCAACTTCCTACCTATCGGTGCCCTACTGTCGAAACTCGGGATGTTGATCGGGGCTCTTGGTTCTGCGACACCTGAGCGAGCGTCATTTCAGCGAACGACATTTGAGCGAAGCCTTTTCAGCGATTATCAATTTAAGCGATTGACTTTTTCAGCGATTGTCAGGTCGGCGAATTCAATCACAGCGATTATCAACTTAAGCGAGGACCAGAATCAGCGAAACCAGATTGAGCGAATATATGGAGGTCAATGGGGGACCAATTGAGCGAACACAGTTACAGCGAAACCGAACGCGACGGAAGTCAATCATTTGCTACTTTTCGGGAATTCTTGCCCTTGGAATACCCGCTTGGTATGTGTCATGCTTCAAGCTGCGCGCGGCAAATTAAGAATTTGCTTTTAAGCTTGGAAACCACAAAAATATCTGGCCTCATTCTGCAACCTTGATCTGGAAATGTGGAACATGAGATATAGGACGAT